TCAAGTTCCAATCAGATTGAAGTGGTTCTTCCAGCCATGGGGTTAATTGAGAAGAGATCCCCCATCTTTATCTCAGCAATTTTTTATTTCAATTGTTTTCTTTCAATTTCTTCCCATGGCCAGCTGAGGATGAGTGAGAGAGGGGCTGTGGGGGTGTCCAGCAGCCAGCCAAGGAATCAAACCCATGGCATGAATTTTAAAGCCTAGACTCTAGTCTCTGAAAGTGTGTAATCTCTAAAAAGAGTGAATGTGATTCTTGAATTTGAAGGCCATTTCTGCTCCATCTTCAGGAGCTGTTCCTCCAATCCAGAAAGAAAATCTTATTGACTGCAGCCCTGGGTTTAGTTTGACATAGTGAAGATAAACCCTTTGTCTTTTGCCAGTCCTGGTTACCTCTTTGTCTTCCTATTCTGATGGACATAGGGAGTAATTCTAACATTCTTTTGTCCCTGTAATGCTGTTTTACTTCTCATTTTACTGCCATCATAAAGTGACAAAGACTTGCTGCTGTATTTCATCTCCATGTGTCACCAGTTACCTTCAGGCAAATGAGTGAGTTGTCAACTATTTTAAGGACATCCCGTTCCTCTGCTTCCCTTTCCAAAATTTTAGGGCCAATAGAAGTTTTTAGAAAATTCATGCCTTGACCACAGCCAGTCAATTTGCAGTAGAAGGGCATTGCCCAGGGTTGTGAGATTCTGGGGTCATTTCTACCTTTCTGTACTGGAAATGGCTTGTCCTCCTTGTCCTGTCACTCCAGGCCTCCTTGTCCAAAGTCCCTCTCCATCTCTCTCTGGAGCCTCTTTAGGCACTGGAAGGGGCTCTAAGGTCTCCCAGAGCCTTCTCTTCTCCAGGCTGAATATCCCCTGCTGTCCCCGCCTGTCTCCAGAGCAGAGGGGCTCCAATAAACCATGTGTGTGCTCTTTAACCATGCTCAGACTGCTGCCCTGATAAGGGTCGCCTGTGACATCAAATCAGTGTCTCAGGATTTCTTGAAATAAACTCAATCCAACCAATATTAGCCATAATTTCCTGTTTATTGTACAGGAGTGGTTTTTGGAGGTGGGCATTAATTTGCATGTCTTCCAGTTGTTGGCACTGGACCTCCTAGGAGAGTATGTGAGGACCCAGGGGCAGGAGGGAGAACAAAAGTGAAGGAGACAGCACATTCACCAGAAGATAGGAAATCCATCAAAATGGGAGCATTCAGACTGACTCTTGTAGGAAAGCTTTTAGCTCTTACCCTGATGAACATTTTATCATGATACTGATACAGATATTGAATCAGAATAGTAATGATTTCACTGGAAATGGGAGTGGCAGAGGAAGAAGGAAAGATTCCTCTTCTGTTATTGGCACCAGCAAATCACCAAAATTCCACCCAATACCAGTTTTTCTTTCCCTCCCCATGATGTCTTAGGCTCCTGTCATCTTACAAACATTGCCTGTGTCCTTTCATTTCTCACTCCTCTTCACTGTCCTGCTCCACAACTTTTTCATGCTGTTTTTCACCTCTTGGTTTCTCAGGGTGTAGCTGAAGGGGTTGAGCATGGGGATGATGATGGTGTAGAAGACAGACAGCACCTTGTCTGCCGGGCAGGTGGTGGAAGGGCGCAGGTAGACGAAAATGCACGGCCCAAAGAAGAGCGTGACGGTTGTGATGTGGGAAGAGCATATAGGTGTCAGCGCAGGCCAGCGCCAGCCAAGGGTGGCCATGCCAGAAACAGTGGTCCAGCCCATTGTTGGGCCCACAAAAGGGCAGCTGGAGGCGCAGCAGGGTCTGCAGCAGGGAGTGCACAAAGCCCCCAGCCCCGAGGCTGCCAGCAGGCAGCCGCAGCCATGCGGGCTCACGATGCTGGTGGAGTGGAGCCGTTTGCAGAGGGCGACGCAGCGGTCGTGGGCCATCACCATGAGGAGGAAGATCTCAGGGCACCCAAAGAAGTGGGTCCCCAACAGCTGAGCCATGCAGCCCGCAAAGGATATGGTCCTCTCCTCCACGAGAAGGTCCTGGATGAGTTTGGGAGCTGAGACAGTGGAGTAACTGATGTCTACAAAAGACAAAGAGCTCCGGAAGAAGTACATGGGAGAGTTCAGCAGGTCACTTGTCCTTATAGTCATGATGATGAGCAGGTTTCCAAAAGTGATAGTGGTGTAGAAGAGTAAAAAGAAGAAGCAGAGTTTTGCTCCTGTCCTGTCTTGTGTCAGTCCGTGGAGGATGAACTGGGTCCTGTTGTTTGTGTTCTCCACAGGCACCACTCAGGCAGGACCTGGAGCTCAGAAAAGAGACAGCAAGAGTGACATCAGACCTGGGGCAGGATCAGGACATGCACAAACTGACCTTTGGCATGTTAAATATTCAGCTTTTTCTTTTTCTGCTGTATTTTTGGGACAATTTCAATTTCAAGTCAATACTTTCCTAAAGGAATAACAGTGCTATCTGAGTCCGAATGTATTCTTGACATAAATAATAACAAGCTGAGATTCTTTAGTTGAGGAGGGTGGTAAAAATAAGAGCCAGGTGCTGGACTTAGTCCTGAACAGCTCCTAAACACACCTGTAGTGACACTGGGGGAGTGAATGAGCTGTTGGTGACCCTCCTTTCCTGACAAACACACACAAATTCACCTTTGCAGCATTGCCACGCACTCCACAAGGATCACTCCACAAGGATCACTGCTGTGTGATATCCCTGGAAGGGCTCAAGAGCGCGTTGGGTGGGGCTTGGAGCAACCCAATCTAGTCAAAGGTGTCCCTGCCTCTGGCAGGGGGAGTCAGAACAATATGAGCTTGGAGGTGCCTTCCATCCCAAACCCTCCTGTGATTCTAAAGCTGGAATTGAGGGGGTTTCTTTCTCAATCGTCAAATAGAGCCCACAAAAGTCACTCACCAGAAATGCTGCTTTTCCAGGGCAGGATTCCCATCAGGCCTGAAGAAACCAAAGGGACAATCTCCAAACATTTCCACTGAGAGCTCTCTAGCTGTCACTCCTCTAAGGACCTCCCCAAACCACTCCAGGGAGTTTCATCAGAATGTCTCACCTGCAATTTGCTGCTCAGAAGTTGTGAAAGCAAGTGGAAATCTCTGCCAGCTCTGAGCCCTGCAGTGGCGGAAAAGAACAACCCAACTCTCTGTCTGCTATTCCCATTATGAAAAAAAAACCAATTGGCAAGAGCATCTACAAGAACAATTATTTCTGTAGCAGAAGTAGTTGAAATAAATGACACAGCAGAAGCCCAAGACTCTCCGGAGTAATGAGATCCCAGAGGCAAATGAAGTTTTGCCAGAGAACATCAGTGGACAAGGAGCTCAAATTGTTCTTTGGACAGTTCTTAGGGCAGTGTCTGGAGAGAAGTGTTGGAGTAAAGATGTCTCTTCCATAGGATGGCTCATACATGTCTCATGTATATAAATATAAATGAATATGATGAATATAAATTTGAAAGAAGAAGTAACACAGGAAATGACTTCAAAAATTTGGAAAGGTTTGTGGTGAATTCCTCTCTGCCTATCAGTAATTTTTACTGCCACAGTGCAAAGCACAGAAGCAACTTTTTAACTCAAGTCGGAAGTTCTTGTAAGAATTCTTAACAAAATGTGGAGAAGCCTAATGCTGCTTTCAGTGAGACCTTCCATAAGCTATGGGGGAATACTTGCTCAGCAGCATGCAAAAATGAGACCTCCAAAAAACCCATTAGTGTTCACCTCCAAAGCATTTAAAAATTGATCTATTTCTAATTTTTTTTGTGTGTTTGTTATAAACGACATTTGTGTGTGTTATCCCGACCCTATCTCGGACCAGGGACACCTTTTAACCTTCAACCCTACTTAAGGCAAGGAGTTGTGGTGGCTGCTGGAATAGTTGCTAAACAGTTCATTTTTATTATTATTCTCCCATGAATTTGTGCCTCCAAAGCCCTACTGTGGTGACTCCTTAATTTTTAACAGTCAGGAAAGTGTGTTTAATTCGATGTGTGATTCTCTATTAGTCTAAGGATGAAAATAAAAGACATGAGGCCGAGCTGAAAGATAGAGGGGATGGTTGGAAGGATGGCAGCAGGGATGGGAGAAGTAAATAGACTTGTGGGATTGTAGAATAACTGTTTGGGTTGGAAGGGACCTTAAAGACCATGTCATTCCACCGCCTGCTATGGGCAGGATTTGTTGAGATGAGAAGGAAAGGGGAGAAGTTTCCTCTCCCATTACTTGCATCAGCAAAGGACTCAACTACCTCATAATATCAGGGGTTTGTGTTTGTTTTTTTTAATGGGATGCTCTGCCTGGACAACATTTTCAGTCCTTTTGACAGTATTTATTTCAACACTGGTGTTGAGTTTGTGCTCAGGAGGCCCTGGTCTGGGCCTGTGCTTGTTGACAAAGCATAGACAGGGAATGCCAGCTCATCACAGAGTTCACAGTGTCTTTCCCCTCAACAAATAAACCTTTAGTGCCTTCCTCATTACAGCAGGAGCTCCCAGCAAGCTGTCCTTTAAAAGGCAGGTTGTGAGGAATTGTCACAAAAGAAATCACAGGGAAAGATGCTCAGTTTTCTCCGATCCTTTGGAAACATGACTGTGGTCCTACATCTTTGCATTTTGGGTTCCCAGTTTTCTGCTCCACAACTTTCTCATGGCACTCTTCACCTCCTGGTTCCGGAGGGTGTAGAT